TGTTTTTTCCGTTTGTGGGGGTTAAAGAATCTGTCCAATGTCGATTGCTTTTCCGTCTTCTTCATGATTTTTCAGAAGTAATTAATAGCATTGTAATTGTAAAGATCTATAGGCCTATTAACCTCAACCTGGTTTGTATGCCATTTTAAGACCGTTGTTCTGACATCCTCCCACTTCTTCAAAAGATCTTTAATAGCAGATATCGGCATAAATCCGTATTTTCAGAAGAAAACGTAAAAAAATTGTTTCTGTCAGAAATATAAAAGGCTGGAATTACAAGGGAAAGTTTCAAAGTTCGGGGGAATACTATCCGATCAGTATATACTGGGTAGAACGTCGTTGTCGACGTTTCCCGCGCTCTGAAAAGTTTAGAATTGTTGCCTGAGACAAAGGAAGACCAATCGGTATTCGTTATTTACGTCGCTTCTTCTTGCGTTTGTTCAGTGAAATATTTTGGGAGAGTGTTCGTTATCCGATCTGTTCGTTAACCGATCACCCACTGTACTATGAAAACGATCTCATTAAATAGTGAATATCAAACTCTATTAAATAAAACAACGTAAATTGATACCTAACTGCACACTTAAACACTCAGCATTCGTGTTATGCAGTGCACTTCTACTCCTCGAGTGCTGTGCAGTGAAGCATTAACTTGTCCTATTTGATAGCTGTTCTGGATTCACACTTAATATTTCGTAATGCACTAAAACGTAACGATATGTATTTTTTGGTGTAATACGACTTCACAATTGACATCGTTGCCCGATTTACAATAGGAACCGCGATTACAATATCCTTCTCCGATAGAGAAGCTTGAAGGTATGGGAATTTGTATCGTCGTTTAGTGATTAACCAATGTACAACACATCTGAAAAATGTCTACAGTGATTGCCTTATTAGTTTCTGAAATACTGTAATTGATACAGGGAAGAGACTTTATATATATGCAAAAATATAATTTATAAATAATAATCCATAATTATATTAATTAAGTTATATCAAGGGCTAGAAGCAACTTTTGTAATAATAATAATCCATAAGTTGTTTTTTAAGTTACAGAATTTTTAAAATTAAATATGAATATCTAGAAATATTTAATAGGTGTTTATTTTGTATAAATATCAAAATACGATTCAACATAATAATTTTTTAGATATGAAATTGTTCAACCGATTCCGAAGGTTTTTGGAAACACGAAATTAAATGGAACTTATTACGGAATGAAAGGACAAGTAATCAATAAGGTTTTGTATAACTCATTTGATATTATAAATAAAGATTAATTTGAATTTTAAGTACTAATGCAGTTTTATCAATAGTTGATATTCGGCATATTATCTCTATTGTTGTCACTTGTAACCAGCAAAACATACGAGATACTAAAAATTGAGTGTTACAGATACAGTCGGTTGTATCTGTTATAATTATGATTTAATCATAAAAGTTTCTTCCGATTAAAATACGTTATATATTAATGAAAAGAACTAAAATTTTATCGATCGTAAAGTATTAAATATTATATATGAACCAAATTTGTACATAAAAAATCGGTACATAAGTTTTGAAAATTGGACTATTACAAATCATATATGAATACATACTTGTATTATTTTCACATTTTACTTATAATAAATAATAGTAATATTACTCTAATAGTTGTTATTCAATCAGTTAATTGCTAACTTTAAACTACTGTAAAATTTTTCTCTAACTAAGACGATTTTTTCGAAATATTATTAAGTAATTTAAAGTTTCTAAACAATAGGAAATTTGACAACATTGTTGCCAAACTTTTGTGGCACTTTTAATGAGTTTACGAGATTTTACTCTACTTATATTGCATAACAGGTAACATCTGGATCTTGAAATTTTATTGCAAATTCTAATGTTATGGTGCTTTTTCTTATATAGGAAGCAGATATGTCTGGTTTCCCCATGTACATGAGAAGCGATTTCTTTCATTTGCTGGATTACAGTTCGATTGTTAATGTGAATCCAGTTACTTTCATAGTTAAACAGAGAAAAAAAGAGTCAACATGGAAAAGCATAATTAGACCTTTTTCACTTGAGGTAAGTGCATTTAGTCTTTATAAGAACAATAATTACAAAATATTTCGTATGAATTTTAATGCCAAACCTTTTGTCATATAATAATAATTTAAAATATAAAAAGTTTTTATAACAAAATGACTAATTCTCTGTAGGAAATGACCTACGATAAAATAACTAACAAGCAATTATTTATTCTGGCATGTAGTCACCATGCCTGGCTGTAATTTTTAATCATATTTTTAATGTATTAAATTTAAAAAATATTTTTTTCATCTCAAATTAGTAGTGTATTGTCCCTATACATCATACTTTTTTCAGATTACCATAGAGTGTTGCCGGTCATGTACGTAACTCCATTCAAGAAAAACTTTTTAAATTAAATTTACATCACTTTCGTTTCAGATCTGATGATCATGTATCATCTGGCCTTTGTGCTCCTACTCTTTTTTACTCTTATCTCGACTTTAAGCTACCATCTTTCTAGAGTTTAAGAAATGACAGACAGATAGTCAGGCAGACAAACGACAGTGAGAATTTATAGTTCTACAATTTTTACAAATTGCAGCTCAATAAGAAACGACATGTTTTGATGAAGTTAACTGATAAAGATGAATTAAATAATAAAGAAGCTACACAACAGCGGTCCAAAAATAATAATACAGCTTGACACGCAGTAGGGATACTTGACAAAATTCTTACAGCACTTTAAAAAGATAACACCGACATTAGTATGGACATTGAAAGAAACATTAAGGAAAATGAGCATATATCATTAAAAGCTATTGCTGACTTTATTTATGAGGAACATCAGGTAAGGTTGTCTCTAGCAACTATATACAATGTCTTAAATATACAGCTATGGAGCTATTCTGAAAAGAAGCAATAAAATATTGGATAGAGTTAATGTTCAAAATACAATTGATTTGCGATACGAATATGAAAAAATCTTCACTGTAAATGCACATAATCATCAACTGAAATTAATGTTTATCGATGAGCGTGGCTTCAATCTTCATCTTGGAGGAAAGACAATGGCTATAAAAACAAAGGGTAAAGAAATTTAGAACCAGTTCCAAACATAAGAAAACGGATTCTCATGATGATTGTTGTTATGAAATTAGTTTTAATTGTTGACTACAAATTAATCTACAAAGCAAGATCTTAGTCTTTTGACGAGTTCATTGTTAAACTATTGGAAAATATACATGCTCACGAAAACTTGCCCAGTGTATTGTTAAACGTTTCATATAACTTAAACCAAATATGTTAGGGCTTATTACACCAGTAAATATAAACACTAAATTTCTTAAATTTATTATACACTAGCTGTTACCCGCGACTTCGCCCGCGGAGGTTTTGCAAGCAAACACCATTTATATTCATTATTTCAACAACCATAGTAATTGTTATATAACACCTACCGCCGAGAATGATGAGAATTGCTGAGAATCATACAAACTATTTTCAATTTGATCAATTTTCCGGAACGTTTACAATCGTTCTATAATCGAACCGATACGCAATAACAAATTCGAATTTAAAAAGGTTCGAACTTTTGGTTAAAAAATCGAAATATATAAAAATATTTATAACAATGTCTGAAATGTTATTAATTTACTACACTTAAGTACTTAATGAAGACTAAACGTAACAAAAAATCGCATGTAAAATAGTACAGTAGAAGCCGTTTTTCGGTTAAGACTTAATCCTTTCCCTCTCCCTCCGCAGGGGAATTTCGAAAAATTCCTTCTTAGTGTGCATTTCCATGGTATACCCTACTAAAACGCAGATAAAAACAAAAAATCGCATCTAAAATAGTACAGTAGAAGCCGTTTTTCCAGTTAAGCCTTAATGCTCTCCCTCTCCCTCGCGGGGGAATTTCGAAAAATCCCTTCTTAGTGATAGTTTTCATGACGTACTCTAACTGTGTACCAAATTCCACCTCTTTAGGTTCAGCGGTTTGCTCTGGGCGATGATGAATCAGTGAGTCATTCAGTGAGTCAGTCAGTCAGGACAAGCAATTTTATAGGGGAGATCGGGGCAAGATCGGCATGTTAAGCTTTACTTAAATTTTGTGTTATAAATACTGCTGTAAACTGAAAAAAAAGCTTTGCATATTGTCTATTGGAATGTTACCTTACTATAGAACTGGTTAAAATCAGTTTGGAAATAAAAATAATTAAAATAATTACAACTTTACAAGAAGAGAGAAATTGACGAAGTTGCCCCGGGTATAGGGGCAAGATCGGCAACTTCTCTCTTTTTGTAAAGTTGTAATTATTTTAATTATTTTTATTAAAGTTGCCCCTGGTATAGGGGCAACAGTAATGGGGCAAGATAGGCACGTATATAAAATTATGTTATTAACAATGTATAAGTTGGAATTCACTATTAAAACAAAGAAATACAAATCCAACACCCATTTAATATTATTACAACGAAATGCAAGTTCAAAGACATATATACATGAATAACAAATGCAAACATGTTTTCATTTATCATCTGTTTGATTTTTATCCTTTGCTTCTAATGTGGCTTTATGTTGCCGATCTTACCCCGCTAGTCATGATTTCGAAACATTAAGTACAACCCTGAGAACAGAATGCCAAGCCACGATCTGGCCACGTGAATAAGTTGAAGTTACATCCTTCTAACAGGAAAAGTAACTTTCGTTATCATGGAATTATAACAAAACCTGCCAATTCAATATAAATGGAAAAAAAATATTATATGGAATTCAACGAAAATGAAAATTTGCTTGATAATTCAACTACGCTTGTTGGAGAACAATAAAAACACTACACTCAACAAGCCACCAATAAAACTCAACTGCCTAACCTATAACCAAAGTCTCCTTTTAATTTGTTTTAAAAAAAAAGCGCTTGACAAACTTGCCCCGCATGCCGAAGTTGCCCCTATCTCCCCTATATATAGATTTCAATGTAGAAAACAGAGATTTTACAAAAATTGAAACTAATATGTGTACAAAACACCAAAAATGCATTTCGGACTCTAAAATACTGTAGTCGTTCTTTAGTTGTTGTTTCAATAAAACTTACAAGATAAAAATACATAAGAGCCGGAACATAAATAATTGGTTTAAGTTATATGAAACGTTTAATGAAATTAAGGGAAAAAAACAAAAAACAATGAATAATATGCAAATACATAGCAGAAAAGAATTAAAGAATAAGAATTTATGCACTGAAATTTTTACCGTCGTATTCTTACATGCTGAAGCCTACTGAAGAAACTTTTTCCAACATTAAAAACGTAGTAAGATTAATCCTAAATACTATTTATCCAGGACAATACGACCTTATATAAAAGTCATCGAACGATCTTTAACACAGATTACTGCTGATTGTAACAGATATTTTATCTATATGTCGGAAATATAGCAAAACTTTTAGCATGACATTTATCTGCATTTTTGACAGCTGTATTACAAAAAGGCAATAAGATGATTATTTTTCTGTGTATTCACCATTTGCCGTACGAATTTTTTTAAAGGAACTTTTAATTAAACATAAAAAAATACTTAAAACTGAAAAAACGAAAGAAATGCGTTAATTTTGAAGAAAAAGCTTCAAACTTTATTTTCCATTGTCTCGCCTTTCTGCGAAATTTGACACTGATGAGCCATTGTTTACACAGCTGGATGACATTGAGAACATCTGGTGTCGGATTTCGCGGGACATTCTCATAGACGTCTCGGGAGGACAAGGGTTTAAAGTAGGGTGAATACTAGCTGGCGGTGTATTTTTAAATATTTAAAAAAAACTAAAATTTTAATTGCGATTTAATTGCAATTTAATTGCGATCGGGGGATTGCCCCTCCCCCCCGATTTAATTAAACTTATATATAATAAAATATGTTAATTAAAAAATTAAAAAACTTTTCTAAAAAGAATCGATGGAGTCAGATAATCTATTTTTTTACCGTACTGTACTATTCTTTAGTACACGGAAAACTACTAGTTTTCCATTCGTTTCTGACTTTTGTAAACGCGATGGTATCAGTGAGAAAGATGTGTCTTCTTCTGTGTCTACGACGGAAAAAAATGTGTCGTCTGAGATACCTTCTGCTGTTCCTATTGTACACTCTAGTCGTCAGAAACCCTACTGAAGAGGCCTTGACAGGCTAAATGCATTTGGGGTGAAGTATATATTTATATAAAAATAAAAGTATATTTTCCTTGTTAACCTGTTTACCTTTTTTAATTTTTTATACCAGTCTACGGACTCGGGACTTATTAAGCCTCCAAAAGTCAGAAACGAATGGAAAACTAGTAGTTTTCCGTGTACTAAAGAATAGTACAGTACGGTAAAAAAAAAAAATTAAAAAACTATTGGAGGTCGTTTTTGACATCAGAAACTAGCTTTAAATAACTTTACCGAAGTCAAATCTGTGCACTACAACTTTAGAACGATTAATTAAATTTGATAAAAAAAAGTCGCCTTAAGAACAATTAAGTGTTAATCGCGCGTCATTAAAGGTTGATTAAAATCGCGATAAAATTTTTTTGCACGGGTAAAAATTTTTATTGGAGATAATAATAAGTTCTGGTGAAAAGTGCTGATTGCTCGAGACCTTATTACTCAATGTTGTTATCTGACGTCGAATTGATATTGATTTTAATTGATGTGCCAGAGTTAATTTCTACTGTCAGTCTAGTGTCACATTCCAATTAGGCCCATAAATCGATGATGGCAGGATAGTAGATTTCCAGCTTCGGTCCAGTGTTTCTGACCTTCGGCTAATGCAAATTCAATTCTAAAGGGCCATGGTAAAAACTTTATTACAAATGAGTCCGGCTTGATTTGGCTGAATCTTTGATAATTTGTAGTTCTAGTGGTCCTGATAAGAAGCAACTTCAGGCACAAATTGGAAAAGTGGATTGTTTTGAGTTCTCAAACGTCCATTTATTTTACTTTTGATCAGAAAAGATGCAAACACGGCGTAATTCTACATATGTGTTGTAAAGCCTTATCAAAGTCTTTCGTTACAAAAATTAAATTACTGTCCCAACAAAGTTGCTTTCAGCTGTTTTCAAGTCTCAGAAAAGTTAGCTCCTGTGAGAATAATTCCCATGCCCTGTCTGCAGAAGCACATTGTATTAATCCAAACGGGAACGAAAAACAAAAAAGCATAATAAGTGACTTAAAATACTAGTTTACTTTAGAGTTGTATTAAAGTTTTCTATGAAAGTACTGTTCAGAATTTTTTAATTCGTATCCGTTAACCTTTTACGTTTCAGAAAAGTAACGAATTCGAATTTCAAAATTCTGAATCAAATCTTAACAGAAAAATTAAATATAAATTGAATGCAAAGAACTATATGTCTCTATTTACGTCCGTTGTCCAGAAATTTTGAAAAAAAGATTTTCCCATAAAAACATTAAATTTTTACTTTCATCTGCTGGGGATCGCATAAATAAATAAAGAAATTACAATAAACCTTAACATTTATTTTCAGGTATGGATATTAATTTTAGTATTTATATTAATAACTGGATTCATCTTATCTCGAATTTTAAAAAATGAAAATAAGCTGCGTGTGTACGAAAAATTTTGTTCAGTCAAAAATACTATTTGGATTCTGTTTTCAAGCGTTGTCCTACAAGGTATTCACTGTTTACGTTATCGCTATATTTTAATTTTCAGTTTTTCTTAATGATTAAATTTTATAAAATATATTAATCTTAAATATATTATATATATATAATTGTAGGATCAAATTTAGATTTTGTTACACGATTTTCATCGAGACTAATAATAGGAATCTGGCTGCTATGTGCTGTTGTTCTGGGATACGGCTATGGGGGAATACTAATGTCTTTTCTAACAGCCGCAGATAATGAATGGATCCCAACAAATTTCTACGAATTAGCAGATGCTGTAAAAAGACAAGAATTCTCTTGCGGTACTACACCTATAGGGAAATATGCAATTTTTAAGGTATTTTATTATGATGTGATGTTAATTTTTTTCATATTTCTGTATGTATTTTATATAATTTGCTCTTCAATTCAAAACTGATCGAATAAGGATGTTTGTAATGGAATGGAGCGTTAAAATTTCCCTCAAAAACTAATGTACAGTACATTACTTAATATCAAGAAATAAATCGTTAAAACACAGTACAAAATTGAAATATAATTTTTTAAATGAAGTTAATAAGAGTCATGTAACTAAATATAGAGTTATTGATCACAGAATAATTTTTAAATTGAAAAAAATTTTGGTTTTCTCTTACAATTTTTAATTAATTATCTATCTGTTTTCAGTAATGTACAGTTTACTAAACAGCTGAAGTGTGCTATAATAACGTCAATAATATCTAATCGGTAGAATATAATTATCAGATGTGTTTGTATTATAGAGGGTGAGTCATTCTGTATAATACAAATACATCTGATAATTATATTAAAACAAAAAAACTCAAACATTCCTCAACTGTTTCATTACTTTATGTTTTCGTTGTTACATTCACTTACCGTGTATCTTGCAACACAATCTCTTCTTAAAGCAATGTTGAACACGTCTGAAAAAAGAACCATAAAGTAAGAACTTATAGAAGAATTTTTGGATTTTCTAATACGAGAATCATTGTGTACTTTTTCTTTTGTTAATTATAGCAGCGATAAAGAAAATATTTATTGGTTGAACGTTGAATATTTATGACAAAAGTCTAATAGATGTTTGATATAACTTGTTTTCAGTTTATTTATTTCTTCTTGTATAGGGGTGATGCTGACTCTTCTTGGTACTGACATACTTTCTAATACACTAGCTTAGTCTTTACTTATTGTATTTATACATATGACTTTCATTTAGTTATAATTTTTAACAGGAAATATTAACCTTATCCAGGGCCTGCTTTAAACTACTGTGAAAGATAATAAAGTTAAACTGAATGCTTATCTTTCTATCAACGGGAATAATGATATTGGATTGGACAAAACTCAACTTTTGTTGCATGTTTTTCATCACCGGGAATATTTTAAGTGACAGTTTGAAAATGGCTGTTGTAATTGATTGGAAATATTTTAAAAAAACGTTTTTTGTAGTCTAAAACAAATTTCACTTAGTAACCAAACATTAAAAAGTTTTTAAATGAAAAATACCGAAGTATCTTGCTACGATCAAAGCAACATATGCAACAAGCTAGTATTTTTTGTCATAATACTCTCAATTTCAGTAATATTTTGCCCCTGTCCATCACCCTTTTCCTGTTAACAATAGAGTAATGTTGGTGATCTAATTCTGTTCAGAAGAAAATATTTTAATTGAAATAAAGTGACTTCCGCTGTGAAACGAAAGTTATATTATTTGATAAATCGGGTTCTCATATCCTTAAGTTTTTAATATCTTCTCTCGAGTTCTATCTTTCTAACTCCGATCTCAAGATTAAAAAAGGACAGTGACATTAACTTACTTGTAGTTTAAAACAATGTGGAAGATAATTTCATATTACATAATATAAAAGTGAATTTTTACATGATCATAGAACTCGAAAAAACAAAATAAACTAAAAAATGATTTGGATATGTTACAGTCAAAACCCGTTTTTAGTTAGAACGCGGTTTAACTAGTTGAAACTAGTTTATACTGAATGTCTTTGTTAAAACCCGTTTTGTCTAGTTTAAACTAGTTTATACTGAATGTCTTTGTTAAAACCCGTTTTGTCTAGTGAAAACTAGTTTTAACTCAAATTCATTTTTGACTAGCAGTAAATTCTAGTTTTAACTAGACAAAACGGGTTTTAACAAAGAAACCNGGCTACTATATATAACAGTGGGAAAATATGGAGATCGGTCAATATATGACCTCCAACATTGAATTTTTGGACTCAGGACCCCTTGAACGTCCAGAGATGAAAAAAAAACAAATATTAAAATTCGGGAATAATTTCTTAATGTATCAGTGGTGTGCTGTCCATGGAAGTTGTGGAATCGCCGCTTCTTTTGTATTTTCTAAAATATAAATACATATGTGCATAAATACATGTTTTCGTATTTTAACATACTTTGAATTAATTAAAATTAATATTTTATTATAACTGCATCGTGTATCTTATTACAAATTTCTATACTACATGTGAAAAAAAGGGAAAAATTGCTATTGTGTATTCGAATATAAATTCGTATATGCATATTCTCAATGAAAGCGCTGTATTATCGAATAAGAGATAGCTTCCACGGCGAAAATATTTGAATCGTGTAAAGCAGCCAGATTATACGCATTCGCGCATACGCTTTACAGAGCACCAACCTCACGCGGTTTAGCTGGTGGATGCTACACACCAAACTATAGTATAACGCTTCCAATGATCTTATCCAGGGCAGACACAGCTTCCCTATTATCAAATGTCACTGCACGCCACTGTAAGGTATAGATGTTAGTGTTTGTAAGTGTGTATGTTTGTATGTGGCATGCTTTTGTTCATTATCTTCGAAGCGTAAACAAAATATACAAGATACTTACTGAATTGAATTCGTAGCATCCGATGTGACTTTTTCCTGTTAAAAATGCTATCTTAGTTTTCTTATATTTTCTTAGTTTTAATATTATTGTTTTCGGCTCGAATGACTGTTTATGTTTAGATGACATAATAACGCTTCCAATGATCTTATCCTGGGACGGCGCAGCTTCCCTATTATCAAATGTCACTGCACGCCACTGTAAGGTATGGATGTTAGTGTTTGTAAGTGTGTATGTTTGTATGTGGCATGCTTTTGTTCATTATCATCGAAGCGTAAACAAAATATACAAGATACTTACTGAATTGAATTCGTAGCATCCGATGTGACTTTTTCCTGTTAGAAATGCTATCTTAGTTTTCTTATATTTTCTTAGTTTTAATATTATTGTTTNACAAAGACATTCAGTATAAACTAATTTCAACTAGACAAAACCGGTTTTAACAAAGACATTCAGTATAAACTAGTTTCAACTAGTTAAAACGCGTTCTAACTAAAAACGGGTTTTGACTGTAACAGATACAAAAATAAATTTGTATCTTTAAATTTTTGTGACATTTCTGATTTTAAGTTAGTAGCAATATACAGTATATATCTATACTGTATATTGTTACTAAGAATATTTTAGAACACTGGAATTTCTTAAATAATGTCAAAATGATAAATAAATACAAAACTTTGTAATTGTAATGCAATTTTAACATTACAAACCTGTATTACAAATCCACTGTTGCGTGTCTGCCCTTCGTTAATATGGATAACGGAGTTAGATATATGAAAATCGTAATTAGATATGAAAAGATTAGGAGTGGGAAGAACTGATTAATTATATATAAACTTATGATCAGGATGGAAGTCACTTGATTTCAATAGTGGTTAAAGCTTTATGAAGCCAATTCAAATTTTAATTAAGGGACAGCATGTATGAAAACAACAGTGTTGACTGCAGAAATTTTTTCACGAGAAGTTTTTTGGGAAATATTTTCTTTTAAAAGAGTAGTTTGAGATACCCTATACATGGGAACCCCAGGCAATTGCTCTTTTTGCACATAGGATATCGTGCCACTGCTTGATTTCAATTCAAAATTTTCTCAAGATGATTAGCATGATTTGTTTATTATCAGAAGTATGATGTACAGGGGCAAGGCATCACTGAAATCAAAACTATATAGGGGCCAGAGACCTTGATTAACTAGGCTATTGTTTTCTTGCTATTCTCTGGATTCAATACATTTAAAATACAAGAAACAAAAATGGTAGCAATTAGGCATCAAAGAGAATATTTGGTTACAATAAATGCTTTCAGAAACATTCTGTAAAATATATTCATACATACTATAAGCTAAAACTAGGAACAATAGTTGATTTAAAAACCAATTGTATTTCGAGGTAAAATATATATCATATTTTAGATGTATTGTTTTAATAACTATAAGCACGAATTCATGTATTTTGTGTAACTGCTATTTCATTATAATCATATACATTACAGTATGATACAGGGTGAGCGTAAAGTCCATAAAAAGTTTAAACATTCATAACAAGTGGAAGAATTATCGGAATGAAATGTGGTTGGCATGGTATGTATTGTCAGCACGGCGAATTTGTTGAAAAACGAAAAAGTTGTAAAAATAACTGAAAGGTGGTATTGAGATAAAAAAAGGACCAAGAACAGACGTGCAATAGACAATGAATTAAATTTCCGAGTGTTTTCATCAGGTTTTCCGACATTGTTGGAATTGAAAATTGCTATTTGCCATGAAGTAACATGCTGCACTCTCCAGATACTAGTGTTGTTACTTGGCTAAACTTTGGTACAGGCAATATCAAACAGTTGTATAATAAACACACGATAAATTATTTTCTTTTTTGTTTGCATTTACTTTGTATATCAACGTCACTAATTGGTGATATTTTCCTCCACCAACAAAAATCTGCCACGCTGAAAGTATTTGCAATGCAAAATGCATTTCTTTCTGACGACTCTTCCATTTTTATGAAAATATAATTTTTTACGAATTTATTGCTCGCCCTGTATTTTTAATTTAATAATGTAGAATTGATTTCACGTTAAAAATGTTTTTGTAGGAAGCTGGATCCGGAGTTGCAAAAGTATTATTCGAGCATATGGAGAAAAATCAAAATTATGTGGATTATAAAACAGCAAGAGAAAGAGTTGAAAATGAACGTTTTGCATACATACAAACTACACACATTATAAAAAAAACATTTCCGAAGCGTTCGAGTAACACAAAAGTTATGACTGACGAAACACTTCGATCGTATTACTCTGCATTTTATCTAAGAAAGAACTTTCCTTATAAAAGAAAAATCAGTAAAATGTATGATTTATAAATATTATTTAATTAATGAATGTAAAGATTAAGTTTGACATTGGAATTTTCTTTCGATTTCTAGTGTAACTCGAATGTTTGAATCTGGATTAATTATGTTTCACCTAACGAAATATCCGGAATATCCAAATGATGAAAATTCCGTTAGTCCGTTAACCTGGAATGAATTTTTTGGAAGTTTTACTATTCTTGCAATCGGTTATTTCTTTGCTTTAATTTGCTTTGTTGGAGAATTATTCATTAGGAAAAGGAAAAAAAATTCGATTGTTTAAACAAAGGGCTTGATTGATTCACATCTTGATCTTTGTGAGGAATTTCTTTTCGCTCATAAATTTATTTCATAATAGTATAATAATTAATTATTATTTAATAATTATTTTGATGGTATTTCTTTATAAGTAAATACTTGAATTTGTTATTCGGTATTATTTACTCGTCAACATTCATTTCTATTCATTTATGTTTGGAAAACGACTTAAACATAATTTTAAAATTAATTCGATAGTTAATGTATAAAATTAATTACTAATAATCATAATAATTATTATTTTTGATATTTCAAATTTGTAGTTTTTATTTCTGCAACCAGAAAACCTTGGAATGAAAATTATCTTTAATTAATATATTGCATCAATACTTGTCACAGTTTACATTAGAATTAATGACCATGAGAAGATATGGTCTCGATTCAGAACTGTGATTGTATGTAATTTTTGAATACGAGTGGTTTCTAGAATTTATCTATTCATATTATGCTTAATTTTATAAGATTCAACTGTATATTAATAGTGTTCTAGTCCTCCTTGCTATTATATAGTGCATAATGCAGTTGCCATTTGATGGATTGAATGATTAATTCCAAGGTCCTATACTCTGAAACTTATTATTAATTATTATCTAGCTATGGGCAAGTTAGACCAGAAATAATTTCGACCTGTAATGTCTTAACAATCTTCATTATATATGTAGTAGATAGTGTTTGCACTTCAATATGCAAATAGATTGTTAGATGCACCTTCTATATCTAATCTATAGTGATTTTCGAGAAAATATATATAATAAATGTATCACCAAAATTCATACTTAATAATGAAACACATTTCAAAGTATATATTTAATATTTAAATAAAAACAAGTAAGATTTTGAAATAAATTGTGTTGTCATGCATATCATCGACAAGAGATTGGCTTTCAAAATTGGCTGTACTGTATTATTTAACATGTTTATGCTTTTATTAATACTTCATTTTCATTCTGGTTTTCGCATTTTTTAAACTTATATAAATTATATAAGAATTTACTGTATATAAATAATTTCTCTTAAATATTCCAAAGAGTTTTTTATTGTATATGTATAATGTGAACTTTGAAATGAGGAATGATGCCCACAAATCGTTGGACTTCTTTAATAATTTCACATTTAATATTATATGAGAAAGTATAGTAGATAAGAACAATGTAAAGAATATAATTAAGGTAAGTTACTATAATTTTCGTAAATTTAAATTTATTCAATTTATTAATTTTCTTTTTAAATATTGCAGATATTCTGCCAGTGATTTTGAGACATGATCATTATACAAAAATTCATCTGCATCTCAAGAGTAGCATAATTAAAATTCACATTTAAGGCAAAATAAATTTCAAATATTATTCAAGTTATGATCAATTTTTGTACGCATTTGTATTCCGGTAAACAAGATCAAGCACACATCGAAAATAAATTTCTGTCTAATGTGTTTTATTGCTCTACATTTCTGGCATTTTTTTTTAAATTTTAAGATAGAAAACATCCAAATAAGACTTTTTTTTTCTAAGTCCTCAAATTTTTTCAGAAGTTTTTACTCGCGCGAAAAAATTTTATAGTGATTTGAATCAACCTTTACTTAACGCCTAATTGCTTTTTTAATTGGATTTTTTAAATCAAATTCATTTAATCGTTCTAAACTTTTGAGTCACGAATTTGACTTCGGTAAAGTCTTTTAAGCTGCTTTCTGAATGTTTTAGTTAGGTTTGACGTTGATAGGGGACGTGCAGCTCCTAGAAATGTTTTACCTGTTGTTATGAGCATTAATTAGAGACCCAAATAAAACAAACATTTGTGTTTTTCAAATAAATTTTTGTTTTTCTCTTTTATAATTAATGAATTTATCTATTTTTAAGTAAAAATTGAAAGTGTCTGTAGAAGTAATTCTTTAAAATATCCTTTTTCGTGATAAAGATTTAATACTTATTAATACTCTCTCTCGTGATTACTAAACCATCAAATTTATTTCTTCCATAAGCAATTCTGCTTGAAAACTGACGGTCCGAATTACGAAATTCTCCACTATGTCCTACAAAAATTTGCATTATTCAGCATTTTGCCAAAATTTCGGTGCGCACTGTAATCTGTTTATCACATGTTAATCCTTCAATATACTTGTATATTTAAGGATTGGACCACAAGTATATTATATATACTTGTGGCCCAAAAATCCATGACATCTTTCAATGTGGCCCAGAGAAAGAAAAAGGTTGGACACCCCTGCATTAGAGTATTTCTGAAAAACATTTATCTAATTTTTTCAATTATCATTATAAGTTACTTCTCTGTATGAATTTATTTGGAATGTAAATGATAAACAATTATAATACATTTTAATGATTTTTCCAGGTGTTATTTACAAAAGAGGGAAAGTATGGCAATCGCTCAAAAATGAGCCTCAGTCATTTTTGGGTTCAGGGGATTTTGAAACGCCGAGAAATCCAAAAAAAGAAAAACAACTATGGGGGTTTCTGTATGCACAGATCTGTGTGTGTATGACACGATTTTGTTCACCTTCTATGAAACTTAATAAATCCTGTGCTTTCTGTCAAAAATTTCTTAAATTTTGTAATGAGGTTTGATTATTAAGGGGATTAATAATCAAACCTCATTACAACCCGATAGATATTTTCAACTAAATGATTTACGTATTTCCAAAATTCGAACGAAATCATTAATATTAAATTTAAATTAATTTCTTCTTTTAATACTATAAACTTTTCAAAAATTGCGCTGTGATGCAGCGTTGTAACTTCGGAGGAGGACACACCGATACTTCTATGAAAAATATTATAGTAGCGTTTCACAATATCGGATAATTTATCAATATATTTATAAGAATTACGATAAGCAAGTAATAGATATGTTTTATTTAGCACAGTTTTATGAAATATTTTGACAGCATCGGCTTTTCTATTAAAATGGGTTGAATAAGGATTAATTTTAAATTTTTTAAAAGATTTTTTAAAAAACTTAAATTTTAATCTATTATAAAATTCTTTTTTAAATAGATAAAGTATCAATTTGTAAATTTTTCGGAATGTGTTTTTTAAAAAGAACTTGAAAAGCTTTAAAAACTAATTGAGATTTTTTTCTTTTATTGGTATAACATATTAATACTTAATAAATACATCGATCACAGTTAGTAAATATTTTACTACATTATTAAATGTAGAAAATGTTTTTTACGCTAATAACGATAATAATGAAAATGCTAATAACGATTTTACTCGTTCTTAGCATTTACAATTTTTTTTTTATAAAACCCATTTCTACTCTGAAAATTAAGATTTTTGCCGTTTTATAATATTCAATGATACAAAAATTTTTAAAATAAAATATCATAACAGATAGCCCCACAGTAATTTTACATTTTTCGAGAAATGTATGTAACTGGTTGCTGAGCTTCCCAATATTTAGACAGATAGGAAAAAACGATGATTCAAGATGTTAACAATGATTAAATTATATTAAAAATATTAATAGAAAGCTTCTTTGACTGGTTATCGACATCACTATATATTTAATACAGTAGAGCGTCGTTTATCTGAATCAATTGGGGACTGGGGTTATTCGGATAACTTATTTTTCGGATAACCGATTATGTACGAAAAATTATTTAACCCATCCCGTGTTGA